GAGCAGCGAAACATTTTGGTGCAGTACAGAGTCGACTCTATAATACAAAGAGTCGACTCCCAAATTCCAGAGAGCAGCGAAACATTTTGGTGCAGAACAGAGTCGACTCTTTAATGTAGTAGGGAAATAAACTCTCCTCCATTCAAAGTCAACTATTATTTTCTAAAGTCAACTGTTTTGCTTGTAAGAGTCGACTCTCAGATTATAGAGTCGACTCTTTGGCGTGGGATTTGATTAAAACTGCTCCAGTTCTAGATTTCCCCATTTTCCCTCTCTCTCCTATTTGACTCTCTGAGAAACCTAACACTCAACCCATCCAAAATCCTCCCAAATTTCACTAAAATAACTCACCCAAACACAAACTCACACCATTTTCGATCCATTGCTCTAAGATTCGTGCATAGTCATACAAAATGGTGAGGACTAAAAGAGTTGTAAAGAAAGCAAAGGGGCAGGCGGCAAGCACGTCTGGAGGGCGTCGAAGGGCTGAGCAAAGTCCTGAGTACAATGGTGAAAGCACAGACACGGAGCAGGTATTTCAACCCGATCACCCTCGAAACTTTATATCTAGAAATGATATAGAAGCCTATAATAAATTAGGAGATAGGAAAGTCGTTTATGGTTTTAAAGTAGTTTTAGATGATATATGCAAAGGGGGGCTGCATATTAGAGTAATGTTAGATGCAATGGGGTGGACTGAATTAGTAAGTAGAAAGGTGAAGGTTTACCTGTAGTTGATAAAGATTTTTTATACAACTTTGAGTGATTCGGAAGATAGAGGGTATAGAACAATAGTTCTTAAGAAAACTTTTGAATTTGATGCTAAAACTATAAATGATGTTTTACATTTGCCAAATGAGGAAGCCATCGAATTGAATGCATTTACAGAGGAATCGGCAAAGAAATTTATCATGGGGGATGAGTACAATGAAGGACAAACATTAACCATTCACCACTTGAATTTGGAGAATCGGTTAATGTTTTGGATTTACAATCACATAATTTTGCCAAGGCAAGGTTCTTTTGGGAAATTTAGTGGTCCGGATTGTGTGTGGTTTGCATATATTCTTGATCAGAGCCGGATCAATTTAGGACACCATATTATGAGACAAATGGTGTATTCTAGGGGTAGATCGACACTCGCACTAGTGTATGGTACTTGCATCACTGTACTTATGGAAAATGCGGGTGTTGATTTGCGTGGTATAGAGTCCCGAGACCTACACAGTCACGAGCTTTTGAATGAGAGTTCACTGAACAAAATGGGGTATGTATTCAGTGCAAGAATAAATTCTTGGGAAATGAAGCAGAAAAGGAGAAGAGAAGGACAAGATGATGAAGGTGAGGGCTTTGATGATGAAGAACATGCCAAAGAAACTGAAGAAGCAGGTCCCTCACAAGCTACTTCATCTCGAGTTCCTCAGAGATTAACCACACAGAGAGGAATGCAACTCATTCTCGAGAGACTTGCACGGATTGAATCAAAGCTTAATGATCACATTCGTGAGTGTCAAATGGCAGCACCTATAGGTCCTTGAGGGACAAGAGGAGATCCATCTACTGCTGGCACATCCTCCGGATAGCAACCCACTGATCCCTTTTCAAATCCGGAAGCATAAATCCTCCCGTTGCAGTTGTTGATGGCTGTTAAATTATCATTTTAATGTTTGAACACTCTTTTGAAGGTTTTCTTAATGTATTGACTTTTTATATTTTTGAATATGTACATATAATGTTGACATTATATGCAGTTTAATTGAATGCAAATTTTAACATCAATGAGCATAGCATAATTGTGATGATTTGTATTGGTTGATTATGTTCTTGATGTGCTTCCATTGATGGCAAACAAGTTGGTAGTCCATAGTGTGCTTGAATGGCAATTTGTGGATGTGGTTTTAAAGTTTGATGTGCATGTGGTGTTAATGATTCAATAGTATTTTTTACATAGTTGATGTTCATGAAAAAAAAAAGGAAATGCAAACAGCAAATTATGGGAAATTAAACAGCAGAAATGGACTGAAGAGTCGAATATAGGCCTATATTCGACTCTTTAGGCATATGAGAGTCGACTATCAAGCAGCAAGAGTCGACTCCCATTTTCCAATAAGCAACAAATGCATTTTGCTGCAGCCTATAGTCGACTCTCCATTATAGAGTCGACTCTTTTGGATTTAGAGTCAACTCTATAATATGAAAAGTCGACTACCAAATTCCAGTAGGCTGGAAGTTAATTTGTTGCAGCATATAGTCGACTCTTTATCATAACGTCGACTCTTTTGGATTCAGAGTCGACTCTATCATATGAAGAGTTGACTACCAAATTCTAGTACGTTGGAATTTAATTTACTGCAGCCTATCGTCAACTCTCCATCATAGAGTCGACTCTAAATCAAAAGAATCGACTCTACGATGTGGAGAGTCGAATACCAAATCCCAGTAAGTGCCATATTTTTTTCCCTTCAAATAGTTGACTCTCTATGTTGAGAGTCGATTCTTAGTACTTTACAGTCGACTCTACTATGTAAGATTGGACTCTTGAACTATGTGATTCACAAAATAAAAGAATTTCATGCAAATTTTTAATAATTAACATGAGAAATACTTAGAAATCATTAATAAATGTTGTAATGTCAAAATATATAAAATAATCACAAGAAAACAAGAGAAATTAGAAAAAAAATTGAAAAAAAAAATTGAAGAACATAAGTAAGATAATTATATTATGGTTCTTAGATGGATCGTAATTTTTGAACAGCAGCATCCCAATACTTTTTTTTAAATGTAATACGCCTACCATTACCAAAAATCTTTGTAATAGTTTCGAAGGACTCAGCAAGGGTTTTGGGTGGATTTGACAAAGATGGTGATCGATAACGATTTGAGCAAATTTTTGCAATATGACCCTCACGGTTACACAGTTGACAAGTTACAGCATATCGGTGCGAGCAAACTGTAGCTAAATGTCCAGGAGAATCACATATTTGACAAACAGAGTAATTTATGGTATTAGGCAATGGAATATGTTGATCAGTTGATATATTATTCTTTGCTTTTTTCAACTTCATCTTTGAAGGACTTTCAGATGGGCAATTCTATAATGATTCAGGAGTATCCTCAACGATTCCTGTGTAAAATAATATAAAGTTAAGTAATATGATAATAAAAGGGGTGCACAAACGGGAAATGAGAAATAAGGGAAGGAAAAAAAATTATACCATTATATTGGCTGTCAAAATAATCTTGACTTTCCAATTGATTCTCAAAATAATC